GCGGAGCGAGCCGCTGGAATAGTGCGTTTGTTGTATTGCGTACAGCGTAATTGTCGTGTTAGCGCCGAATTTCTTGTTGCTGGTATTATATCTTTTATGTAAATGGGCACTCGTTCGTCGACGATAATCTTATGATAGAGTTTCAGCCTGTGGGTGCGGCGCCTATCTTGTAAGGTGGTCCAGCCAAGCTCAGTCCTAAGTCCGGAGGTGGGTGTCCGGCGGTGAGTGGCAGTGATGAGGCGTGCTGCCCTGTTCTGCGCCTTCTCCAGTCGTGATTTGTCAAATATTGTTATATGACAATCATATATGGTATCACAGTAGTCGAGGTGAGGACGCACGTACATTTGATATATATTCAACAATATCTGTCTGGGAATCAAGGGTGCGATTGGAAATAGAGGACTCAGCGTGCGATTGAATTTTAACAGGACATTATCTACATGTGACTTGAACCTTAGGTCGGTAGAAATCGTTACGCCAAGATGCTTATGGGAATCTCGAACGGGAATTCCTACGCCACCAAAAACCAGGGTGGGAATTTTACCGTTATTTTTCGTGAAAGTCTGCTGAGTAGTCTTCGTTGCGTTAAAAGTTACAATCCAATTATCTCCGTAGTGACTGATGCGTTCCAAGTCATGTTGCAGTGATCGTTGAACTTCGTTAACGTTGTCGGCATTGTGACTGGCATACAGTGAGCTGTCATCAGCAAAAAACAGCATTTCATTGTCGGTGATGCTACTAAGTCCGTTTAAATACAGGATGGCCAGAAGCGGGCCGAGAACAGATCCTTGCGGCACTCCTGCGAATAGTGTGCGCTGGGTGGATATGGCCTCCCCTACCTGAACTGATTGCTTCCTATCATGAAGGTAAGATTTAAGCCAATCGAGATTTGTGCCTCGTATTCCAAACTCAGTGTCACATTTTGCAACTAATCCTTCGTGCCATATCTTTTCGAAATATCTTGATATGTCCAAGTATATGATGGTGTAATCATTTCCGGAGTCCATGGATTTGTAAAGTTTATCGGTGAGGTATGTTAGCTGGAGTTCGGTGTTGTGGACGAATAACCAATATCTTGCGATGGCTATGGGCCTTGTGAGCTTTTGACACGCTGATTTCGGCTTTTTTTTGCCAGTCTTACCTCCCACCTATCATTGAACATGTTGTTCTGCGATGTACAGATGTCAGAGTCAGGGTCAAGGTCAACCTAGGTCATCTAAAATTATTGCGCTTTAGGCAAGCTGAATTTACTTTTCGTGAAGTTTCTTTGACTGTATGTTTAGTAAAAGCTTCTCACTTCATGATCAAGTGTAATAGGGACACACAAACCGATCTGTGCACACATCAGTACATACACAGACATACACAGACATACAAACACATATCATTGACCTTGACCTAACTTGACGTGAAATGACCACAGCCAGCAAATTAGTCGGATAGTGTGACAAAGAGCTGTTCTAGCTCGCTTGGCACTAATACGGCAGCGTCATCGGTATATGATGGGTTGGCCCGCTGCTTGTGTAGGTATCTTATTCGACATCACCACAATTTTTTCTTACAAGATTTTAAGCCTTGCGGTCAAGAGCAACAGATTCTTTGGGAAGTGACGAATCCAATGATACCAATTTTACCTCATCAGGTCAGTCATTGACCTTCCAGGTCAGGTCAAACTAAAGAATGTTGCTGTTTGGGGTCACCGTTGCCCGTTGGAATATCACGTGCGCTGCTCATCATGTACCGATGACGCTGCCGTATTGTGGTGCCAAGCCAGCTAGAACCTCTTTGTCACACTATCCGACTAGGTTTTTGCTGGCTGTGGTCATTTCAGGTCAAGTTAGCTCAAGGTCAATGACATGTGTTTGTATGTCTGTGTGTGTCTGTGTGTACGAGTATACTGATGTGTGCACCGACTGTGAATGTGTCCATATTACATGAGATCATGAACTGAGAAGCTTTTGCCAAAAATACAGTCAAAGAAACTTCACGAAAGTAAATTCAGCTTGCCTAAAACGCAATATTTTTAGACGACCTAGGTTGACCTTGACCCTGACCCTGGCATCTCTACATCATTGAACAACATGTTCCATGATAGGTGGGAGGTAAGACTGACAAAAAAGGCCGAAATCAAGGTGTCAAAAGCTCACAAGACCCAACGCCAACGCAAGATATTGGGTATTTGTCATTTGGGTTATGACATTACCTGAAGAATAAGGTCATATCTCCGAAACCAAAAACCACAGAAACTTGAAATTTTCAGTGGACGCTAAAAAAGGATAGAGCAGCAGCTATACGAAATATCCGACTTCTAGCAATCAAAATGTTTAGTGCAGAGCAGAAAAAACTACCTAGGTCGGGGTGGGGGGGGTGTGGCAACCACTGCCCCCCCCCCCCCCATGTGCGGACGAGGATTACCTAAGTAATTTGAATATCAGGAAAATAATTTATTACATCAGGTATTCCAACAGAGTCCCGCTTTTTTATAGGTGACCTCCGATTTGTGTTGCATCTAAGTTACCCAGGGGGCCTCTTATTTGTAATTGTAGGTACAGTACAGAGAGCCTCCTACTTCGACTACTTGCACAGAGAGCCTCCTAGCGTACATACGGCTAAGCTTCTACAGGTCGAGCGCCGGTCTCTTGTACGTACAGAGAGCCTCCTACTGTTACAGAGGGCCTCCTGTTTGTCTAGGGGGCCTCCTATTGGTTAACGGCGCCTCCTATTTGTCCAAGCGGCCTCCTATTCGTCTATGGGACCTCCTATTTGTCCAGGAGGCCCCCTGTTTCTCCAGAAGGTCCCCTATTTATCCAGGGGGCTTCTATTTTCCAGGGGGCCTCCTCTTTATCTAGGGGGCCTCCTACGTGTTCAGGGGCCTCCTATTTGTCCAGGGGCCTCCTATTTATCCAGGGGTCTTTTATTCGACTAGGAGTCTCATATTTGTGCAGGGGCCTCCTATTTGTCCAAGGGTCTCCTACTTGTCCCGGGGCCTCCTTTTTTTTGAAGGGACTCCTTTTTGTTAAGGGAGCCTTCTATTTGTCCAGGGGGCCTCCTATTCGTACAGAGAGCCTCTAGCTCCTACTTGTCCATGGAGCCTCCTATTTGTTCAAGAGGTCCCCTATTTGTCCAGGGGGCCTCCTATTTGTCCAAGGGACCTGTTATTTTTCTAGGGGGCCTCTTTGCCCAAGAGGCCTCCTATTTGTCCAGCGTGCCTCCTACATGTTCAGGGGGCCTCCTATTTGTCCAAGGGGCCTCCTATTGGTTAAAGTAGCCTCTTATTTTCCAAGCGGCCTCCTATTTATCCAGAGGGCTCCTATTTTTAGGGGGCTTCCTCTTTATCCAGGTGGCCTCCTTGTTCAGGGGGCCTCTTAATTGTCCAGGGGCCTCCTTTTGTGAAAGGGGCCTCCTATTTGTCCAGGGGGCCTCCTTTTGTGAAAGGGGCCTCCTTTTTGTCTAGGTCTAGGACCTTCTATTTGTCCAGGGGGCCTCCTATTTTTGCAGGGGCCTCCTATTTGCACAGAGGGCCTCCTACTTGTCCATGGGGCCTCCTATTTGTCCAGGGGCCTCCTTTTGTGAAAGGGGCCTCCTGTTTGTCTAGGTCTAGGACCTCCTATTTGTCCAGGGGGCCTCCTATTTTTGCAGGGGGCCTCCTAATTGTACAGAGGGCCTCCTACTTGTCCATGGGGCTTACTATTTGTCTAGGGGCCTCTTATTTGTCTAGGGCCTCCTATTTGTCCAGGAGGCCTCCTACTTGTCCAGAGAGCCTCCTATTTCTCCAGGGGACTTCCTGTTTTCCGGGGGCCTCCTACTTGTTCAGGGGGCCTCCTACTTGTTCAGGGGGCCTCCTACTTGTTCAGGGGGCCTCCTATTTGTCCAACAGGGCCTCCGATTTGTCCAAGGGGCCTCCTATTTAAACAGAGAACCTTTTATATGAATATCGGACCTCCGTTTGCAAAGAAGCTGATGCGTCTCGGGGGCCTCCACTATTGGGGTCCCAAAATGACAATTGGGGTCCCAAATGTTCGCATTGGGGTCCCACATGGGACCTCGAAAGTATACAAAGTTACACCCATGTGCCTATTAGATTTCCAATAGATTTATTGGCGTTTTATCAGCGACATATCTAATTAGGTCGGTAGGAATGAGCCTCCAAACCATTATTTATCGTCACTTTCTTAGAAACATCTTTACGCGGTAAGGGTACGGATTCAGTTTGTCCAATCAACGCTTGGCTAATCGTTTGTTTGTGACAAAGATGAATGTTCGGAAAGATCATGGCCTCAAATTAAACTCCTTTATTGTCACTACTCATTGGCAGATGCATGTGCCATTGTGCAGTTTGTGTCGTCAAGGCCCAGGTCCAGCTATAATGACGCTGTGGTGAAATTCGTTTTCAGATTCTGAGCTTGTGCAATGTGCATTATTTCATTTTTTCTATGCCAACCACACAACAGCTGCATATTTGTTGCTCGGTGAATCTGCAATCCATGCCTTTGCTTGCTGGCCTCTGAAGCGAGCATTTCATATTTCAGTGATGTAATATTGTCAAATATGATGGTCTTACGTCTTACCATACAAACTAAAAATTAAAACTTGTACAAGGATATCCATCAATCAAGATCACAATCTAAACCACAAATGTGCTTTTAAATGGCACGCGACGTGCATTTGTCGCCGATGAGTGCTTGTTTGTTTCTCGTTTTTTAGCACTTACTAGTTCAAATTTAACCTCGCATGATTTTAATATTGGAAATATTATTGTTTCTTTCATCATGCCTAAGTACATATACCCATGCAAATTTAGTGTCGAGCTGATGTATCCTCTCTCCACGCTGAGTGGAGTTAACCGCTCCTCTTCCTGCCTATACAGGGTATAATTTACCACCTCTCTGTCCGAGCATTGTGAAGTTACATCGCTTATTGGTTCAAGCGTACAAAGATCATTGTGGAATCAACTGTCTGTCTATTCAATGTGATATTAACTGTGGTTTCCGTCCTCTCAGGGTGGAGTTTACTGACTCGCTGGGCCGGTCTCGGACCGTGATGCGTCGTGACCTGGACGAGTACCGCCGCCGGGACCAGGAGAGCCGGAGAACGGGCGACGAATCTCAGCAGGTGAGGTGTCACAGGAGCGTGCATAGAGTTTATCCATCGGCGTCAGTGTATGTAGTTTAGAAAGCAGCGGTTGTTTTCCGCTCTCACCACTGCAGTACAGTAACTGACGGAGCTGTTTATAGTAGTTCGTTTCATACAGAAAAGGTCGTGTCTTTTGTGCGACGTTGTGGTATTTGTTGATAAAAGTTTGAGTTATAGTAACATGGTTTGTAATGAGCTGACGTGACCTCTGACCTACAGCCGACTCCGGAGCTGATGTCGGAGGACCAGCGTCGCGATCAGCAGCGTCAGATCTGGGAACAGCAGGAGCTGGAGAACGCGGCTAAACGCGACATCCACTACCAGGACGTGCTCTTCAACGGTGAGTACCCCAGGCCTTGCTATAGTATCGACGGCCGACAGTAGGCAGCCTGTGCGGACCTCCGTGGTATGACTGTGTGGAGTGCGTCAAACGGTGTGACTGAGAGCAGGGAGAGATGGGCTCCGTCCTCTCCAAATGTCGACTGGGGGACTGTAATTGCTGCGGAGTGGAGCCGGAATGGGAGTGTTGTCATGTGGAAAAGAGAAGTGTGATGAGTGGAGAGAGAGCACTTCACCAGACAATGACGATGATTTTCTCGGACGTTTTTTATGGTCAGCACACGTATTGCCAAGCGAGTTGCTCTTATGATATGGACTTGACGAAATTGATGACTGGCGTTTGAAAAAAGGTATTCTTTGTTGCTAATGCGCAGGTACCTGGCTTTATTGAGTAGTTGTATCGATTCAATATAGCTTGGCATGTATGCAATGTGAGGTCATTTGTCATATGAACATTAGGTAATTGATAGCTTACTTGATGACTGGTCATTTGGGTTTATAAAAAGCTTCGGACCATTGTCGGCGTGATTCTAATATTGCACGTCAATGGCGGCGTTCATTGTCCATCCAAACGTCATCAATGACAATGCATATTCTAAAGCAATGGGTGGTCCTATTTTTGCATGTGTACACCCCAAACAACGTTTCTGTGCTGATAGGTGGCGTAGCATTACTTTGGTAGTCCTAGCGTGATTAATAAATGAGAGCTCACCCACGCAGACACCGTGTACTCGTAGTCGCACTGGAGCAGCCCGGGTGACCTGCCCCGGCTACTTGCGGCTGTCAACGGCCAGCGCAGTGTTCATTACAGTGGTATTTTGGAAAGTCGGGTGAAATGAAATTATACTTTAGGTCGTCCGTGTAAATGTGGAAAGAAAGCCAATTATTATTCGCTCTGGGTTAACTGCCGCGGTCAGCTCTTGGTTAACTACCTAGATTGCGCGCATTGCGAACTTTTCACGTATATTTCATGCCATTTATGACCCGTTTGTGTCGCATACCCTTTGCACTTGATGACGTCAGTGCACCGTTTTACGTCATTGGCCCAGGACGGCGCGGCGTGGCAGTCGTTGCCAGGTAGCCGTGATTTGGTATGGTCGAAGGCGCTGCACTGCCACCAAGCTCGGTCACCAGTCGTAATGAATCCGCCCCAGCGCACTCCCTGCGACCCCTCCCCCCGCCAACAGTGCCCCCTCCTCCAGTGTGGCCCGTTTGGGCCGTGCTGTGGCGCTCGATACAGGCTGGACGGAGCGGACGAAGACCGTGGCGACGGATTACGGCTCGTCGACACAAAAGAGTTTAAGCTATGGTGGTCGAAATAGCTAGGTAGCTGAGCTAATTGCGGCGCTTGTACTTAGGTTTGCAAATGAGCAGGCCTGCTCCAGTTGAGCATGTAGCGGGGAGGGGTAGGTGATTCATGCACCCAGACACATACGTACCCAAGCCAGAAGTTGATGTATTGACAAAAAAAGGAAAATGATGATTAACAGTACACATAGGTAAAACGTATCGAGAAACATGCAAACTTTTACTGTCACTAGAAGAGAATACTGAAAAATGCGTTCAGGAGTTTCAGTTGTCACAAGGATTCGGTGGCTTTGAAACAACAACTTAACGCCTTTCCTCGTCACTGGTGAACTGTGTGATATTGAAGAACTGACCGCGCGCACTCTGCTAGACCGCACTCGTCTCTCGCGGCCTCCTGAGTCCACTGGCCTCGTCGGTACCGTTTGAGCAAGTCGCCCGAGAGAGGCCGGAGGCGTTAGATCTCCGGTACAGAGCCGGTGATCTGTGACCCCCTCTGACCGTCCCGATGACGTGCACAGTCCGTCTCTCCCGACACTGTGCACGGCGCTGTCCTGAGTCATCGTCTTCATGGTTGTCGTCGTCGTCGTCGTCGTCATCGTTGTTCGTCAGCGCCATCGTCGGCGCGCTATCGCGGGGCCGACGCCGGACAATTCTGTTACTGGCGCACGGTCGGACCGATTGTCTATACGTAATCGCTGTCTGGCCACTCGTCTGAGGAAGCTAGTCCTCGATGCTGAGTGAGCTAGTCGTTCCTCTAGTCTCTGTGTAGTCTTTGTCCTCTCGCACCTCCGAGGAACCGCTCGGTCTCCTCCGGAGTGCCGGTGGTCGGCGACAGTGGCGGCGCTGGAGAGACGATGGCACGCCGCGCTGGCTGCAGTAACCCGGTGTGTGTCGGCCGCCGCCGCGCCCACCGCCTCTGGCTGCTGGCGCCTCTGTCGCCGATACTTCGGCTGCGGCTGTTGTAGCCACTGCTGTAGCCACTGCTGACGGCCGGTCGGCCCGGTTCGATCGGGAACACGCCGCAGGGATTCAGCGCTTCCAGAGCGCCCCGAGCCGCCGGCCGCTTCACTACGTCACCGAGTCACCGAGTCACCAAGTCATCGAGTCATCGAGTCACCGAGTCACCGAGTACCTCTCCCTCATCCCGCCAATCTGCCATCACTCCTCCGTCGCTATTTCGACGACGACGCCCGCTCAGCTGGACAACCGCTGCTGCTCGCTAGTTTGCAGTCCGCTCCTCTGCTCGTGTAGGCTTCTCGTATCGCAGCCCGTCTGTTGACTCCCTTGGCCGGCCTCCGTGGCCAGCCCGGGGTCTGGCGGGGTGCTCTACCAGGCGGCCGCCAGCGTGAGGCCGAGGAGGAGCGAGATGAGAGCCGTGGAGCTGGCCGCGTCCCTCCAGCCGCGGCTATTACAGTAGCTGTTGGGACACGGGCAGATGTACGAACCGCCTTCTGTGTAGCATGACAGATCCTCGTCGGTGGGAATCTGGCCGCAGGTGAGCGCGTACCAACTGGAGTCTGTCGGCACGGGTCAGGTCAGCGCGCGGGTCTGTACAGTCGCTACACAGCCTCCGAGGGACAAGACTGGATAACAGTCAACATCGTGTCCTTATAGGTGTATCAGTGGGTCGACAGGAGTCAGGAACTGAACATGGACCACCGATCAGCACTCACACCGAAAGGGGAGAAGGAGCTGACAGGGCGACTCAACAGCTTCAGCATCTGTATTGAAATGAGGTTCTCCAGTGACATATCAGTTGTCAGTGAGGTATGTAGACGTCTGCACGCAGTGCTAATATTCGGCTATCGGTAGGGTGGCCTGTCACCGCGCTGGGCTGCCGATGGATGGGCGGAAAGGGAAAGAGGGAGGCCGTCGTGGCTGTCTTACCGTGTTTGATTTTAAGGCACACGACGTCGTCCGTATTCCAGGGACAGCTGCCTTCCGTCTCCTTCGGCTTCTTGTTGGGGTCGACCTTCTCGCCGCAGACCTGTGCGCAGAACCGTTCACGGGTCACCAATGAGGGAGGTCAGGGTCACCGGAGGTCAGTAGTGTCAGTGGACATGGGACAGGGTCGGTTAAATTGACCATCAATTAACCATACCACCTTAACATTAGTTTTGAGTTGAGATAGCCAAATTGGGGTCCCTGGCTTGCACTTACCGGTTTGGGCACTCACAACATCGAGGAAGGCTTTAATTCGGAGATATTTTATTTCGAAGTTGCAGCACTTTGGGTTTAGAGGGGCTAATACATTTGGATGCCCCCTCTGAATTTGTGACGTCTGCGACGATCTAAGTGACTTTAAAACCCTAACATCTCTGTGAAGCAATGGTGGTGGTATGTGCTATTTGCGGGCAACGTCTGCCGCAAGTGCCGCACTTTTACGACACCATACACGTGCGCACGTGCAGAATGCCGCTTCCAGATCTCAGGAACGGCTGGGCCGATTGCGTTCAAATTTGGCACACCGCTAGCGACCGGTTAGAAGGGTGCTTTCCACAAGCCCGTTGGAAGTACCCTCTCGCCCTTCCGCGCGTGCAGGGCTCACTATCTCGCTCGCTCGTTCTTCGTCCTAAAGGCGTTTTACTGGTATTTTTTAGTGAAATTTGGCAGATATTCATTTTTGCTTCATCTGAAGTTTGAACCATGCGACACCACTTTTATGCCAATTCATTAACTTTTTGAAGGTGGGATGGTCTCTTTAAGATCATGAGCCATAGGCGTAGGAACAGGGGGGGGGCAGGTGGGCAAGTGCCCACCCACTTTTCGAGGTGGGGGGGGGGGGCAATCATGTGTTTTGGCCCACCCACTTTTGCTCGAGGCCCCTCGTTTCGATTTGAGAGGACGTCGTCTGACGACGTCCTTCGTCACCTTCCAGAATAAACAAACTCGGTAAAACAAAGTTCCACGAATCCCCAAGCACGGACTCCAAATGGCCGTGATGGATCCAAGGAGGCCCTCTGTTCATACTTGTCAGTTGAAGCCCCTGAGACTGATGGCCTGAGAGGCCCTAGTGAATCTGAGGAGGCCCCAATATCCACACTGGTCTGGGGAGGCCCCTCCATCTACACTAGTCAGAATAGGCCCCTGACACTGGCGGTCTAGCCGAGCCCCCCTACCCTTATTAGTCAGAGGAGGCCCCTCTATCCTCAATTGTCAGAAGAGGCCCCTGAGACTGATGGTCTGGGAGGCCTATCCATCTACACTGTAGTCAGAGGAGGCCCCTGAGACTGATGACCTGAGAGGCCCTTATAATCACACCAGGCAGAAGAGGCCCATGAGACTGATGGACTGAGAGGCCCTTCTATATTCATACTGGCCACAGGAGACCCCCAAAACTTTCGGTCTGGGAGGTCCCTCAATTCGGCACCAGTCACAAGAGTCCCCTGAGACTGATGGCCTGGGAAGCCCTTATATTCACACTAGGCAGAGGATCTTGGGGGGGGGGCGACATCCGCCCCCCCCCCTTCCACTGGGCGTGGTACTCGCAACCCTTCCACTGCGCGTGTTAAGCCAGCGCATTCATAGCTCCACACCAGCAATTGTAAGGGCTTCACACTGAAGTATCTGAGGGTTCCACACCGGTGTCTCTAAGGGCCACATACCGGCATCTCTGAGGGCCCCATTCCGGCGTCTCCGAGGGTCCACATCTGGCGGGCACCCATCAGCGACTGAAGGTCCCACACTGTCGAC